GTCTACTTCACACATTGGAAGGTGTTTACTTCTGTTCACATCTGTATCCTTGCTAGACTACGAGCAACTTGAGGCCCATGTCTTCCAGAATCTCTGGGGTCCCCATGCTTGGTACACAGGAGGTGCTCATATTTATTTTGTCCAAAATAAAATAATCGTGGATGTTATTACTTTGTTTCTAACCATGTTAAAAAGGGGGGGGGGCTTCTTTGCAGAAGCAGAAATTGACAAGCTGATCCTAAAATTCATGTAGAAATTCAAAGAATCCAGAATAGCCCAAACAATCTTTAAAAAGAACAAAGTTGGAGGACTGATGTTCGCTGATTGCAAAACTTGCTACAAAGCTACAGTATCAAAACAGTGTGGTACTAGCATAAGGATAGACATACAGATCAACGAAACAGAACTGTGTTGAGAGTCCAGAAATAAACCTATACGTCTATGGTCAATTGATATTTAATAAGGGCGCCAAGACTATTCGATGGGGAGGGAACAGTCTTTTCAACAAAACGTGACGGGACAACAGAATAGCCACCTGCAAAAGAATGAAGTAGGACCCCATCCTCACACCATACACAAAAATTAACTCAAAATGGATCATAGACCTATGTGTAAGAGCTAAAACTACAAAACTCTTAGAAGAAAATATAGACATTTTAGTAACCTTGAGTTAAGCAAAGACTTCTTAGATATGATACTAAAATCAAAAGCAACAAAAGAAACAAACAGATAAGCTGGATTTCACCCAAAATGTTTGTGCTTCCAAGCATGCCATCAACGAAAAGAACCCAGAGAATGGGAGACAATATTTGCAAATCATACATCAGATAAGAGACTTGTATCTAAAAAAATAGAAAGAACTCTTACAACTCAATAATTGAAAGAAATTACCCCAATTTTAAAAATGGGTGAACACTCTGAATACACATTTTTTTCAGGGAAGATATACAAACGGCCAATAAGCACATAAAAAATGCTCAACATCACTAGCTATCAGGAAAATGCAAATCAGAATCACAGTGAGATACTTCACGTTGACTAGGATGGTTGTAATAAAAAAGACAGATAATAACAAGTGTTGGTGAGGACGTGGAGAAATCAGCACACTCCCACACTGCTGGTAGGAATATAAAATGGTGCAGCCACTTTGAAAACAGTATGTCAAGTCTCCAGAAGTTTAAACATAGACTTACCATATGACCCAGCAATTCCACTCCTAGTTAAATACCCAAGAGAAATTAAAGCATAAGATCACACAGAAACTTGTACACTCGTGTTCATAACAGCATCATTTTTAACAACCAAAAAACATGGAAACAATCTAAATGTCCATCAAATGATGAATGGACAAAATGTGGAATATTCATACAGTGAATACTATTAAGGAAAAAAAGAAACGAAGTACTGATAAGTGCTACAACATAGATGAACCTTGAAAACATTATGCTAAGTGAAAGAAGCCAGTCACAAAAGACCACATAATATATGACATGTCCAGAATAAGCAAATCTACAGAGACAGGAAGTAGATTAGTGGTTGCCTAGAGCTGGAAGGTTAGGAGAAAAAGGGGAGTGGCTGCTAACGGGTACAGGATTTCTTTTTGGTAATGAAAGTGTTCTAAAATATATTGTGATGATAGTTGCACACTTTTGTGAATAGAAGAAGAGCCATTGAATTGTACATTTTAAATGGGTTGGGCCGGCTGAGTGGCTCAGTTGGTTAAGAGCTCGCTCAAGAGTGTGAGCTCTGGGCCGGCCGAGTGGCGCGTTGGTTAAGAGCTGGCTTGG